TGTTTAATTGCATCAATGTTTAAAATATTTACTATTGTTTAGGGTTTTAAGTTAGAGTTTAGGGTTTGTGCTTTTAAGTTAAAGTTAATATTAGAGCCTTCATCTTAGGTTAATTTCACTTTACTCCTTTAAATTAGGTGAATTTTTTATTTGGTCCTAACTTTTATGCCCGATGTTCCATATTAGTCACCCGATTTAATAATTTATTAAATTTGGTTAGGATTAATATTAGAGCTTTCACCTTAAGTTTAATCTCACTTTAGACATTTAATTTAGGAGAATTTTAAATTTGGTCTTCACTTTTTTGCATGAAGTTCCATATTAATTAGTCTATCCAATAATTAGTTAAAATTGATTAGGATTAATATTAAAGCCTTCATTTTAGATTAATTTCATATTTAGTCTTTTAATTTAGGAGAACTTTTAATAATATTGTACAATCTCAAATTGTTATATAATCACATAAAGACTGAGTTTAATGATATTAATATAACATATGATATAAGAAGCAAATTAAAAACATAATAAAACTGCGATATAATAATAATAAATATAAAAATAATTGAAAATATTTAAAATATATATTATTTTACAATCATTTTATCTTAATAAAAAAATTTAATGATTATGTAAATGAATTATGACTTTAGAGCAATACAAAAACATTTATATGTATGAGAGCTTCGTGTTTCATTGTCTTCTATGGCTAGAATATTGGAATATGTGTTTATAAATATTTACATCCAACAAAAAGAAGAGGCATCCAATATTGTAAATAACACTAGATTTATTAAAAGTTATTTGTATTTGATTCAATCAATATTTAAAATAAACAAACTTAATTCTAGTTTAAACTCGATTTGAGTTTTTAACAAACTAAAATGAGTTATTCAATGCTCGATTAAAAAATTCATGAATAACTCGAATAAAATAAAATTTAAAATTAAATTAATATTAATATTAATATTTATATGTTGTTTTTAAATGCAATACAAGGTTTTCATGGACTTATTGTTCATATTCGAGTTTGAGTTTAAATCGAATTCAAGTTCGAGCTTCAATCGAGCTAAGTCTGAGAATGTTTCAAGTTCAAGTTTTTCAAAGCTCAAGTTGAGCTTCAATTTTTGAGTTAAAGCTCAAATCGAACTTGACAATTTTAAACTCACGAGCTTTCGAGTCGAGTCAAATTCAATTTTAAACTTTTCAAACCGACTCGAATTCAACATACTCGTACTCAACCTTGTATTCAAGTTACTACCACCAATAACAAGACAAATCATCTCTAGTAAAAAAAAAGAATTATAGTTGAATAAAGCCGAGAGGTCTCGAGCCGTCGACCGCACAACCTTGTATATTGAAGCTAACCATTAGATTTAAATAATGTGTCCTTTATTTGAAATATTATATACGCAATATTAAGAAAAAAATATCATATACACAAAAATAAAAATGGTAAAAAATAGTTCTAAAAAAAAAAATCAATACTTTATAGTTTAAAATTAGCATTATCTAACCCTACATATTTTATTGTGACGTATGATATTGATTTTGATAGTCCTATTTGTGTCCGTTTGCAAAGACTTTATTGTTGCGTTCTCGGAAAATGTTGGGTTGTGATTTGTGAAGAAATAGGGGTTGGAGTCGGTCTTCCCAAGGCAACACAAGGTTCCAAACGTAAAAAAGGGGACACTTTGCTTGATATGGATATGACATGGACTTTTTTAAGATGAGCATTTGGATTCATGCACCAACTCCATAACTCGTGAGTTCAACCTTCAACAAAGTCATGATCCACCCAACTTTTTTTTTAAAGTAAGATAATATTTATTTAAATATAATTTTTAATTATTTTTATTAAATGTTTATATTTTTTTATATTTTTAACATACGAACTAATGATCTTAAAATATAATAATTTATTTATCATCGAGATATTCTAGTGAGAGTAATCCACCCAAATTTGGATTTAGGGAATTACATTATCACTGGCCGCCTTTGCCTACCTTACTTCCAGCCCATCTTCTATTCTTTTTCATCCATTGTAAATTACATATTTAGCCATTGAATTATCGTTTTGGTTCTGTATTGATTATTTAATTCTTTTAAAAAATATACTTGTTATCTTTTTGTTTCGTTTTGTTCACCGATCGTTAAAAAATCAACGATAATATTGACGTGTTACTATAAAATAATAGTATATCATCATTAAAAAGTAAAAGAAAATTATAACACTAGCGGTTTTGTTTATTTTTAATAGAGGGTGACTAAAACGGAACTAAAACGTAATATTATATATGATTTAAAAAAAATAGTTGAGTGACCAAAATGGACCTAAAATAATTTTTGGTTGGCTAAATACATAGCTTACTCTTATTTTTATTTTATTTTGCCTTAGCATACAGATTCACTCCTCAACTTTGCGATTTTTCTTAATTTAATATATGAATTTAGTGTATTGTGACTTAATCAAATATATATATGAATTTAGTTGAATCGGACTTCTCCTTTTAATCCATAAGTTGTGATAAATATTGGGAAAAAATTAATATAAAACAAAATAAAGAATATAATATTATATTATTCCAGCAGCTTGGCATTATATTGCCAAAGGCCGACAATGGATTCAAGCTGTTTGGCGAAAGGGAAAAGTCGTCGGTCGACACCCACACCTTAAACGATGAGCCTACCTGCCTTTTATCAAACAGCTGTGCCTTTATATTGGAGTCAATGATTTGATATGCACTGCTTGGCAATATCTTAATAGACTTTTCATTATACCTATGTATATGTTAACATTTAATTAAAATTACGTTAATATGACTCATCGAGTAATTTTAATAGTAAAAAATATATTAATTTAAAAAAAAAATCAATAATTGTATTTGTAAAATGTATATTATTAACTATCTAATTTTTAAACATATATTACATCATAATTATCTTATACTAATATATATATATATATATGTTAATACGTACTTTGAATTAAAGATAATTAATATAAATGAAGTTGTATTTGTTACCGTATGTACCGTTTATGGTCATATCTCAATCTGATTATAAATTATTGATTTTATAAATAAAACCGATGCTGCTTGGTCTATAGAGTATGTTTTAGCCAATAATTAGACGTTGGGGGTGTTGATTAGGTGCATGAAGATATTACTAACGGGGTTGATTCAAGTGGTAAGCAGCTTGATATCGTTTAGGTAAGATTTTATGTTTGAGTCTTTGTATATGTAGAAAATCCCAACTGAGAGACTCACCCCCCAAAATTAAATGTATAATTCGAAACGGTCCAAAATAATAGGTGAAGTCTTAGAACTCGAAAGCAACAACAAAAAAATACTAAATCTTAAGAGTCGGACAAACAAAATCCAAATGTTAAACAGTTATGGGTTCTTCTAGCCTCGGGCCCAAGCTTATATACACTATTAATGTCATATGTCGGTATATATGATAAAATATGTAAAATGATTATTAAATTTTACTAAAATAATATTTATCATTGGACTTTATAAAGTTAAAAAGTGAATATTAAATTTTAAATTTTATTTAAAAAATAGACACTAACAATTAAATATTATCAAGAGAGTGACGAGAGATGCTAAACCATCGTAAAACATTTAAGGTCATAAATCACACATTAAAAATTCTCTCTTTAAGTCCAATCAATATAGTATAACCACACGATCACAACATACATACGTCAATACGTCAATCAGACAAACATTTTCTCACAAAATTTTGTGCACATTATTCTCAATTATAGCTCGTTCTTTCTCTTAGAGCATTATACGCAACTCCGCTCTTGATCTTTTTGGGGCCCTAAGCAATAATAGACTGGGGCTCTTCATTTTTTTACTTCGGTCGAATACCGCCAATTCGTCACCACTCACAACATATTTATCCGTCAAGAACCCTTAAAGTCTCAACCATTCATATAAAATTCAATTGATTGAGGATAACACTTTTGAGTGATATATTATTCAATTGTGATTTGACCCTATTTAAATTGAAGAAAAAGACTACCGTTGCCATTGATAAGAGAATGTTTAGGAGCTTTGATGTTAATAACGGTTTTCTTTGAAAATAAAGAAATTTTTCATGAGTTTAATGGTGGGTAGAGATTTAAGAATTGAATTTTGGATCTTGGAGAGAGCAGAGAATTCGAAGAGCTTCTGATGATAGTGATGAAACAGTCGTGATTCAAGAGTCTTTGATGAAGCTAGAGAGATTTTTTGGGTTTTTGATAAAGGCGTGCGGGATTTATTAGTAGTAGTAGTACATCTATTTTTGTCTTAATACGTTATTTTTTTCTCTATAGAATTATTTTTAGATCCAACATTGGACCCTTTCCCATTTTGGGTCCTTGGCCATTGCCCGACCCAAACACCCCTCACGGCCGGGGCTGATCATACAAAGACATATTTATTTTTTTAGTAGCTTATAACCCTTAAATAAGTTCTCATCATATGCTTATGAAGGTTTTATTCGTGAGGAATTATTATTCTCTTATGTACGTAAGGTTCTCTTGCCATTTTATTTTTAGAGGTATTTTAGTCTTTACATTTTACGAGTCTGAATATATAGGTTCATATGGCCTACTAATAAGCCCTACAAATAATTCATCATTTTTGTCCATTTAAATAATCATTTTTAATCACTTAGGTCCTTAGGGATATTTTCGTAATTATACCCCTTAAAGGCATTTTAGTCCTTTACACTCGCGAAGGTATTCTTGTCATTTAAACTTATTTAGGGTTTCTCAAACTCTTTCATATGCCATAAGGCTATTCTACTCAATTCCCCATGTTTTATACCTTCAAAATCCATTTATAATTTATACTATTTAAGCGTATTTAGTCATTTACAAATTAGAACTCCTTACTAAGTTTGTTCATTCGTTTTATATCAAATCGTAATTATTTATGTGTATCAGGATATATTTTTAATCTTTCAACATCGGAGAGTATGGATACTCAACCAAGGTGTATGAATGCTCAAATGGAGATTATTATTATTATATAATATTATTTACATCCAAAACCATACCCAATTACAAACCCCATTTGATGGGCCTAAATTAAAACCCTAAGCCCACTTCTTTAACACAAGTTGGATAACCCTGACCCTAATCTTGCCATGCCACAGTCAGCCACCCCTGCCATCGATGTCCGTTGTCGGAGAAGCCTACCGCATTCACTGTTCCACCCTCATCACCTCAGCAACACAGTAAAAGAAACAAATCAGATCAAATCTAACCCAAATCAAGGAAAATCATGGAATTTAATGCAATGAAGACTTCACCAACTCTCTTCCATGGCCATGCTCTTTCCTCTACTGATCTGACCTAAACTCAAGCACAGAGGAATGGCGAATGACAGAGCAAGTAGAGATTATATTTTTTTTATTTTTTGATTTTGTAATATGTATTAGAAGTGTGGTTCTATATAAAGACCACTCAAAAATATGTAAGGGGCTTTCTTCCCAGATATTCAGAAAGAAGTAAAAGAGATCAGAAAAACATTTCAAGGTGGATTCTATTTTCCTCTAGCCATTTTTTTATTTTACATTTGAGCCAAAAACAAGAAAAGGGTAGAAAGGGTTTACCTGAGGGGAGAGAGTGCGTCGTGGGGGGTTCCTCGGAGTAGGAGAAGTCGAAAGGTCGGGTCTTAGTTTAGGGGTATCTAGGACTTATTTAAGAGATTTTGGCTTGGATTTGGGTCTAGGTGGGAAGATCAGGGTGTTTAGGTTTTTTCCAGCCTACTTTCAGTAATCGACGCGGTGGTGTTGGGTTTTGGTGAGGCTGTCGGCTAGAGAGGTCTTGGGGAAAAAGTGAATTGAAAAAAAAATGTTGATTTATATATTTCGAGTTTAATATCTCTTTAATCCTCAAACTTCACCAGTGTTTTTGCATCTTGGTTACTGGATCGAGGTCATTTTGGTTTCATTGCGGATCTGTTTGTCCTTGGTTCATAGTTTATCCTTTTATATTTTGTTCTTTGGATTACTAGTTAAAAATGAGCAACCCACGTTTAAGTCACTCAAACGTTAGCGTGTTTTTACACTTTAGTCCCCTTGTGGTGTTCTTTTTATTTTTTTCTTCGAATCTCATACCCTTATTATGTTATTTTGCATTTTTGTGAATAGGTGATTATTTAGAATTAAATTTATGGTTTATTTTCATTCATAACCTCCATGTTAGCCGTGTTTTTACACTTTGGTCCCTAATCTCGTTTTTATTTTATTTTGAGTTCTATGTCTCAATTTCATAATTTTTGCCTATTATTTTCATTTTTTATGCCTAGAACTTTCAGTATAATTTCATTCTCGTCCCTTGCATTTTAACATGTTTTACTTTTTAATCCCAATATATTTTGTTTCCATATTTAGTTGTATATTCTAATATTGTTTCCATATACGTATTAAATGCAGGATATGTAATAATTTTTATCGTACATATGTGCATGTAGGCGTGATGTATGTAATATAGCTATTTCCATATTATAAATATGCATATACATAGTGAACACATTTATGCCGTAGGTATTATTTCAGACCCAGCTATTATGGGGAGCGCCCAGAGCGATTGCTCAGGCCCCATTTCTTCATTTTTGTAATTGGAGCTCTCATTTTTTTATCTTTATAATTAGGTTTTTAATTTTTTAAATATTATTTTTACCTTTATAATTGATTATTTATTATTCTTTAATTGAGGTCTTTTTATCTTTATATTATTCAATCTCACTTTTATCTTTTTAATTAAAGTCCATCTTTTACCTTTTAATTGAGGCTTCTGATTTTGTAATTTCTACTTTATAATTATAATTCTTTTTTTTTCTCACTTTTAACTTTATAATTGAGACTCTTAAGTTTTTTTAATCTCACTTTCTAACTTTCTAATTGAGGGTTCTAAGTTTTTTCGATCTCAATTATAACTTTATAATTGAGACCCTTATTTTTTTCAATCTCGATTTTTGCCTTTATAATTAAGGCCTCTAATTTTTTTTATAATTTCATAAAATTCTCAATTTCTCATCCCTTTATCTATCTTTCTCGTTAATTCATTTAATTTTGAATTAAATCTAATCATATTTGTCTTTTTTTAACAAAACTTATTTTTCAATTTACCAAATATTCTTTAAGTCTTAGTCTTCTCCAATCTCAATCTAACGATAACATAATATGTTATTCTTTATTTTTCTTAATTTATTATTCAAAATAAAACTCCATATCATAATTTATATCCACATTCGATTTTTTATTCTCTTAGTCATATTTAAGATGTTTTCTTAACAAAACAATGAAATTAATGTTCGAAAAAGTTTAATAAATTTTCTACGATATTAAATTAATTGTTTAAAGTAATGGAATATAATTTCCTTCAACCAAGACCTATTTTTGATTTTTGCTCAGGGCCCCAAAAATATTAGAGACGGATCCGTTTATTTTGAGTGGATATTAATGTATATATGTACATACTTGTATAGAATGTGATGGATATTTTCTTATTTATGAATTATTCCAATATTTTCTAGAATTGTTCTTGTCCACGTAAAATTATTTTTTATATATATTTTATTTCCCTTAGTTTTGGTTGACTTTCACCATTTGTCTTCCTTTACTTTTATTATTCTCCCGTTGATTCAGTTTCCTTCCAAATCAATTTAGGTCATTTTATTCTTTAATTATCTTGTTTTCTTCCTTGTAGATCAAGATGTTAATTTGGGTGGTTTAATTTTATTTCCTTTCTTTTCATTTGTCATGTTTCATTGATTTGTTTAGTTTACTTTTTTAACTTTGCTTCCCTTTTTAATTAATTCCTTAGTATTTATTGACACATTTATTTAATTTTTATGATTGTCATAAAATTTTATATTTATTTAGTTTCTTTGAATTTTAATTTGTAATCTCATACTTATGATATTTAGTCCATGATTAGAGCCTTAGATTTTAATTTAAGTCTTAAACTTTTTACAATCTAGTCCTTGAACTTTTATAGGATATTCATTTGACATAATTAATTAGGGTTTGCAATTAGGGCCACCACTTCAGGTTTAGCATCACTATAGTCCTTTAGCTTAGAGAATAATTTGCTTTGGTTCTCGCATTAACATACCCGAGGGACCATTTCGATTATTCGATTCAATAATTGGTTAAAATCAATTAAGATTAATATTAGATATTTCATTTTAGGTTTAGTCCTAAGTTCTTTAATTTTCATAATTTGACATTTTAGGTTAGGGGAAGCCTTAGTTAATTACCTAGTATAATTAGGCTTAAATAATTGATTGTTTGATTGCATCATGTCTTCAAAACAAGGCAATGTTCACTTACAAAGGAGTTAATAGTGTATCATCTGCATTATGCTTAGGGGTGACCACTGGTAATTCTTGAAGTATATCGACATCATTTTCAAAAACCTTGCATACATAATGAATTTGAAATTAAATAAAATCACGAACTCAAAATTTTCAACTTTTAAATATATGGTAATCGACTAGGTACTAATTTCTAAGCACTGTGGGGGTGTTAATCCTTTCTCGCGCGAAACTGACTCTAGAACCCGATTTCTAGTTTCCGTAGACAAAACTAGTATTTTTGATAAAATAAATTGTTTTATTAAAATTACCTTATTTTTGGTGTCCCAATCGCACCTTGAAATGGTTGGTGGCGATTTCCAACATTTCACAAATCTTTTCAAAGAAAACCCCCAAGTCGTATTAGTTTTTTCCCACCTGGGCAAATACTTGAGTATTGATACTCACTCAATGATATCGATAGTAGCGGAACTTGGTGATTGTTTGGGGGGCCAACTTAAAATTTTAATAAAATTTAGAAGTTTAAATTAAAATTTTCAAAAATTTTGAAGGGTTCAATTTCCATTTTTTTAAAAATGAGATATAACTGAAAATTTTAAAATTTTGGGAGGCTTAATGAGAATTTTTAAAAATTATGGAAAGGTTTAAGTAATAGTATTCAAAATTTCAAAGATTAATATGATTTTTTTTTAAAATTTTGTGGGTTCAAATTAAATTTTTAAAAATTTTAAAGATCTAAATTATATTTTCAAATTTTTAGGGGGTCATGGCCCCCACTGGCCTTCATTGTGTTTCGTCACTGGATATCGATACTAAACAAGGAGTATTGATACTAATTTGATGGTATCGATGATAAATTATACACTGAAATCCCTTAAACTACTCAACATCAATATTGTCCCTTAAACTACTAGGGTTTAAGGGTACGATACGAGTGCTAATCTTGTAAGATATGAACAATATAGATACTAGGGGTGTTTATCAAGCGAGTTGATTACTAGTTGGGCAGTGTTCGACTCATGCTCATTAAAAAACTTTGTTGCTCGACTCGGCTCGTTAAGCTCGTTAAAATTTTACTCGACTCGTCTCGTTAAAAAGACTTGTTGCTCGACTCGTTACTCGTTAAGCTCGTTACTCGTTAAGCTCGATGTTTGTTAAGTTCACCAAAATTTTTGTCTTATTTTCTTAACTATAGATAAAATCTACTAATACTATATATAGCTTAATATAAACATAAATCAATAGATTTAATCAAAAATATCAAGAGTGTAAGAAGCAATTTCGAAGTCTAAACTCCAAAGTAACAATCCACAAATGCGTTAAAATAATAAATATAGTTTTTTGGTATAGTAAAATATTAATTAATTAATTATTATTTTTTGTTGTTTATTAGAAAATTAATAGATTAACAATTTATCATCTTTTTTATTATCTATTAGTAAATTAGTAATTTTTTTGAATGAAATATTTTTTTAAGATAATTACAAAAAATTATATAAAAAATTAACAAATTGCTCGTAAACTTATCGAGTCGAGTTAGACTTTGTTCGACTCAACTTGTTAAGGTATTGAGTCGAGTTTTTTTTTCTGAATTTTAACCGAGTCGAGTTCAAACTGCTCAACTCATTAAACACCCTAATAGATACTACATAAATCAGTATCGATACCACCCTTTTAAAATGCAGATTTCCAATACTAAATTCATACTGTGTCAATACTCTATCGACAATATCAATACTCTATCGACAATATCAATACTATAACCCAAAAAACTTTTAATAAAACTTGAAAAACAACTCCAAAACACTTTTAAACACTTATTTTTGAATCCTTGGATAATTCCTAAAGCCGAAGGGATAATTAAGGCATTATTTAACACTATTTTCAACATATTTCAACAACAAATCATCGTCAAGATCATTAAAACATGTTTAACACTTAAAACACTCAACATTTATTCTACCAACACCGACTATAAATAGTACTTATCTGTTTTGCAACCGTAAGAGGAGTTGATTGAGATTATTTAAGCAACTCACATAATCGTTGACCTCTTGCCAATTGATTCTGAGTAGCTTTATCAAGTTCAGAAGCAAATTGCGCAAAGGCTTCTAATTCGACGGATTGGGCCAATTCCAATTTTGATTTACCAGCGGCTTGTTTCATAGCTTTAATTTGGGTCGCATATCTATTCTGGAGACGGAAATCCCCACATTAATAGTAGGTCTGATTCCGACATTGAATAGATCGATGGATAAGAATATGTGTCCATCTGTAATGGAAATCGCATTAGTAGGAATATATGTCGAAACGTCTCCCGACTTGGTCATGCATGGAATTAAATTTATGAAATAAAATAAGCATTTGGCAGTTCAAAATGTACTACCTTGAGCTTAGCAACCAAAAACTCCCTTGAGTAGCTTTCATCAACCTTTTCTTTTCCTCTTGCACTAGAAGGTTATCGTTCCTCTTTCACCAATCAATAACCATCAAAATGATATACAAATTGAACACAATTTTAAGAGAAGTAATAACACAACTTTATAACCTTATAGATGTCATGGATAAAGTTTAGAACAATCCCTCCTAAATCCTTACAAAACTCTAAGCTTGTTTCACACCATCTTCCAAAAAAATGTTGAGCTTTTCTTAAAGGTTTGGAGATGGAGATTACAGATCTTACAGTCTTCATCCCAAAATGATAATCGAAACAGATTCTTTGCAGGCTTAGAGACTATGGTTCTAAGGGAAATATGAGAGAGAATAAATGAAGAAAGAACAAAGTAAATCAGGTCACCTCAACCTTTCGCCCCCATAATCCGCGCCTACAAAGCAAAACATTCAATGGAAAAATTACAGTTTTAGTCCTTCCAAGATCATCCTAAGCTCAATGGTCCCTATTTTATGGACAATCGTGCATAACCCTTACCTGATGGGGCTCAATTGGAAGTACAAATCGATTCATCCACGACTCGGATTTACACTCGAATGTTAACTCAGTAAGCTTTGTGTCAAAAACGAGTTTTACAGATCGCACTCGTACCCTTACAAGATTAGCACACTTAAAATATAGTCTGACAATTAATAATCCCCATTTCAATAATTTTTACGAAGTCAAGTCAACAGCAAAATCCGGTTAAAGTTTTAGCTTCAGTTCTAAAACATTTTTTAGCGACGATGCTGTTAACTGCAGCCATTAATTAAACCCCAAAACAAAAACAGAGTACTGTCCGTTAGCCAAATCCACGAATATTGCACTAACTGTAAATGTTTCGACCGTTATGCTCTCTCCACAAGGGGCGTACTTCTACCTACGTGTCTTCCTTCTCTTCCCTCCGTGTGTCCCCTCCCTCCTCCTCCTTCCCGCTTACCAATGGCTGTTTTCTCTAATATCTGTTTTTTTTTAAATTTAATTTATTTTTTTCCCATTGTTTTTCACAGTTGAGGGAAGTTCCTTCAGATGGTGAATTGGTGAGAGTAAAAGGTTTTGTTCTAACAGAGAAAACTTCATTGTTGAGAGATGTCGTGGGAATGCTTGGATGGTGGGATGAGATTGATAAATCCGAGGAATGGCAGAGATTCATTTTCTATTTATTGTCTGCTTTCTATGCTCTTATTTCAATTGTTGCGCTGGTAATTTGATGCATTTTTCGTGTCTTTCAATGGGATTTGAATGTGAAAATATGAATGCTATTTATCTCGAAAAAGGGTTACTTTATTATGCATGCATGTGATGTTTTTTTTGTAAAGCTTGAATCTTTTTTGTTATGAATTTATATAAATTTCGATACGTTAAAGATTTCTGGGTATGAATTTTGATATGTCTATGTATTCACAATGTGTTCGATAATATGCTGCTGAGATTCATGTAAATCCCAGCGCTGCTCCCAGCAACTTGTGCTGTTATCTGATATTGCCCAAAATCATGAAGCATACGATGCAAGATTATGCTTTCTAATGGCATTAATGATTCGATTTTCAGGTACAATTATGCTGTATTCAACTGCGAGTGCCGGAGTACGGGTGGACGACACAAAAGGTTTTCCACTTGATGAACTTTGTTGTAAATGGATGTAAGAGTTGTGCATTACATCTTCCATAGTTCTTCAACGAGCTGTTCTATAACTTGGCTAACAAAATTATTGTATGGCGTTCTAACAGTGAGGGCTGCTCTTTTCTGTTTCTACAAGACCGTGTTTCTCATTAAACCCATGGTATGTGTCGTTGTTTAGAGTAGCAGTCGATGCTCCGGATTTTAATTGTTACTTGTAGTGAATGAGCATCTGATAGCAGGGTCATGCGATCTTTAGAGTTCCATGACAATGGCTTCCATATAATGTCTAAGCCTTCTTTGTTTTCGGTATTCGGAAATGAGTAGCGTATTTGATTATCCCTGGCAATAGTTGTTGTATTATCGATATAATCTTAGTTCAGCTTTACTGCTTTAATTATAACATCCATCCATGTACAGGCACTCGAAATGGTGCTTTTGGATTTCCTAATCTTGTATTTTTTTTTCAACATATATGTTGCTTGTTCTTTTCTGGGCAGAGATATATTACCAGGTAGACAACTATCCTTTGCTACATTGTTGTTTAGCATAATTTAAGCAATATGCGGAATCGATTCTCATGGATTGTTCTTTGTTTTTTTCTCTTAGGCAAGAAGTCTTCCAATTAATAAACTTAGGCCTGCATACTATAGCGTAAACGGATTCATATACTTCGCTCAGGTAAAAGTAATAATGTAATTACGCATCATCTAGACGGGTGGTTTTTCAGATTTTACAATGCATCTAAAGATGCCTATCTAAAGACTGGTGGTTAAGTAAAAGCCCGATTGCAATCGAATATGCTATAATCTTCATTTCAAGTAAGTTTTTCTTCTTTAAATCTGCTTTGAATTTGCATTTTCAATGCCATGATGTAGTTTGAGTAACCATTTGTACAAAGTTAACGAATGAATAGATTCTGAAGAAGCATATGGACTTATTTTGGGTGAGTTGAAAAGTTGATGCATTGGGGAATTTCTTGGCATTAGTTATTTCGCTTTGTGCTGCATCCGAACTCATTCTATACGGTGGGAGGTAAGAGTCGATAACAAGCCTCTGACAGAATTTAGTTTCTGTTCCTTCTCTATTCACTTTTCAGTTCTTTACATTCTTAGATTGTTCTACATGTTGATACGCTTCCCTATCGAATCCAGAGGTGGTCAGAAAAAGCTGTTTGAGGTTTGTTAACTTGTAATTGTAAGGACTTCCGATACTCTTTAAACTGTTTATCCATCATTCGACGTGGTTTTCGACCTTTTTTCCATGGCAGGTTGGCTTCGTAACAGGGATATGTTGTGCTTGTTTCGTGCTAAGATGCCTCATGGTGAGCCATGTTGGATCAAAAATAAAATTGTAAATACTACATGAACTTCTTTATGCATAACAAGAGATCATTTCTATCGGTTTCGCTTCACAGGTCTTGGTCTCGTCCTTTGACGAGGATGCCGATGTCGATGTTCTACACCATCCCCTCCTAAACCTTATCTACTACATGGTACATTTGATTTCTGGAGTGTGCTAATCATTCATTACGCTATGCAGTAAGATCGAACTTCAGTCATGTTCCACCGGTTTGTTTAAGACGCAATATAGTTCAATGCATAATGAATATCGATCAGACATGATTGTTCCCTAGAGGTTTTGTGTGATGATAACTAAAGCTGATGTTCTTTGACAAACACTTCAGTTTAATAGATATTGACGGCATTTGTGTTGCTTCTTTTTTGACAGTTGATTGAGATTCTTCCGTCAGCTTTGGTGTTGTTTATACTTCGGAAATTACCTCCGAAGCGAGTTTCCGATCAGTACCATCCCATCAAATGAAGAGTTGCATGCATTTTGTACCCAGAAACAGGAGAGATTAAAATGGTGAGGAAAATGTGAGCTGAGTGGGAGCTCTTGAGCCAATGTTCTGATTTCCTCGATGCTAAAGGACTCGATATGCACATTCAATCTCAAGACTCTTGTTTTGTTCTTGAGCAGAAATCTGCTTCATTAATGAGCACGAAAAAGAAGAACCAGTTCATTTCATTAACTTTTTGTTACTGTAAACTCAGAAGTGGCATGGAGAATTAACATGCATTTTGTTTTCTCATGTGATGAAAATGCAGCTCCATTGGTTTCATTAGCGTTAGAACATTAGAAAAGAGAGATTTAAACAGAAAATAAGCACACAAAGGGGATCAATATGTTCATAATTACACTCTAAAATATCACTCGCAATCCCTTCCTCTCAACAGATTTTACAACTAAATCTTCCCAGGAATCAATAAATAATACACTCTAACCCTTGAGTTAACCAATTCATGGGATTAAAAACCACTATTTTAACCTGAAAAAGTAAAACAGAATTTCCATGTTACCTACAAACAAACCAAGTAATGTACGTTAGATGCTATATTCACAGACAACCCGAGTTAAATCCCTTCATATTGCTGGCAACGAAGCTGCTGTACCAGTTTACAGGTTGGATATGTCGGGGCAAGTTTTGAAGGGACCTTAATCAAATGCAATAGACATGAAAGTTTCATCATCCAAAAGAGAATCGATATCGATGAGGTCTTCATCGCCGTCTCTTTCACCATCACCGACTTCTTCTGTACTGCTCAGTACCATATTGCAAGTCTGTAGAAATATATACCGAAATGGTCAGTGTTTTGGTAAAATATTGAGATAAAAAGAATGTCGAATGTGGATTTGTTGAGTAATAAACACATTTTTCACAATTAAAACTACGGTATACAATCTCAAGAATTTACAATAGGTCTTATGAGACCTTCAATGATCTTAATAATCAAAGGAAAGGCTCAGACCAAGCTAATGATTGGCCAAGTAATAGTTAGAAAGGTCTCAGAATAATCAAAGATGACCTTAGCCAGATTATAGTAGGCCTTGGCTAGTTAACATCCAGATGAAGCAACAGAGAATGACAGAAATAAATCAAGGTCAAGGTGCGGAGACAAAATCTCGGACAGATCGACTCGTCATGGGTAACTAACTAACATCATTGAAGCCTGCTGAATTGTAAACTTTACTAAAGTAGAAATCTATGTAAAAGAAAACAACAATTACCTGGTTTTCACGAATCCCTTGAACCAATGTAAGCAGCCTTCGATATTGGTCTCGTCCTTCAGGATTCTGAGCCATGGACTTTACCCTAGTAAGTGCCTTCTGCAGCCTTTCCTCGGTTTGTTTTCTTCCCTCCTTGAGAAAATCATAATCATCCTCTTTCGAGGGCATGCACTGTGGGTCAGGTTCCTTCGTAATTGCATCCCTTCGAAATCCTCGCAAGCCACTCCCTTTACGTCTCCACCGTAAAATAACTTTCTCCAGAATTCCCACGGACCATATGATTGTTCTATAGTGTTTCCTCACCTGGTGTCCTCTAATATGGGCCTTCGGACCTTAGCCAGATTATAGTAGCCTTGGCTAGTTAACATCCAGATGAAGCAACAGCGAATGACAGAAATAACAAGGTCAAGGTGCGGAGACAAATCTCGACAGATCGACTCGTCATGGGTAACTAACTAACATCATTGAAGCCTGCTGAATTGTAAACTTTACTAAAGTAGAAATCTATGTAAAAGAAACAACAATTACCTGTTTTCCACGAATCCCTTGAACCAATGTAAGCAGCCTTCGATATTGGTCTCGTCCTTCAGGATTCTGAGCCATGGACTTTACCCTAGTAAGTGCCTTCTGCAGCCTTTCCTCGGTTTGTTTTCTTCCCTCCTTGAGAAAATCATAATCATCCTCTTTCGAGGGCATGCACTGTGGGTCAGGTTCCTTCGTAATTGCATCCCTTCGAAATCCTCGCAAGCCACTCCCTTTACGTCTCCACCGTAAAATAACTTTCTCCAGAATTCCCACGGACCATATGATTGTTCTATAGTGTTTCCTCACCTGGTGTCCTCTAATATGGGCCTTCGCACCATAAAATTTAAAATCATTATTCAAATTCAAGATTTTAAAGTTTAGAGGCAAATAATATATCAACAAATCCTTAAACCAACAATTTTACACTTCTTCATAAGATGATGAATTCACTTTTCCAATTTTTCATAAATACACAAAATATAAATCACTCAAAAAATGTACACAACATGTAGTAAACATTCATACAATTAAAAGATGGTAAAAGTCACGACATAGCAGTCAGCAAAAATGAAATGGTCAAACCCCCTAAATATGAGATACTCAAATCCCTTTTATGTTATTATCTCTAAAATAAGTGTAAAATCATAATCATAAAAAGACTGCCTATGTAACACCTTGTATATCAAAATATTGTCGCTTAAGATTTCCAAACACAGGATAGCACATGATTCACCATAAAACAAACACATACAATTAGATTATGAAATAACCCTTTTCCAAAGAAAAAATCTCAGAGAAGAGAAAGGACAAGATAAACCAAGAAACTAAGCCAACAGCAAAGACAAAAGCAGCAATGAACCTGGATTTTGACAATTCTTTGCCGGATCATTAAGAATTCTCTTCTTTTCTTCCAACCACGGTACTTTTTCTGAATTTGTGTTGCAGCAGCATGGGCGACACGATCAATTTGCAATGGCCTGCGTGCTTTAGCAGTTAGAAGTGAAATTGCATGCTCATCTGACATGCCATCACCAAACTCACTCAACTGTTTCTGCTGGAAGGATTGCATCCTGAACATTTGATGTATACGATGGGCAGCTTGTGTAGCATTGCATACAGCAGCAATTGAGTCCTTCAGCGATAGGTCTTGTACATCACTATCATATACTGGAGTTGCCACTCGCTCTGAAACTATTTGTTCAGCTTCTTTTTTATCATTCATTGCAAGAGAAGAAAGGAAATCAGTCAAAGAAGATTCTGCAAGGAAACCCGAAATTCCTTTGTGTCCATTGCCAGAAGCCAAGTCTGCAGGAGTTCTGCCCAAATGAAATTCTGGAGTAGGGTCTGTAAGAAATCCAGGTGCTGCTCCCAGGGACACTAGACTAGCAACTGTTTGCTCTCTGAATTTTGTAAACAAAGATTCAGACGCATAACAAAAGTATACAAGTTTTCTTCTAACAGAGCATTTACTTTATAAAAAGACAGGAAAAAAATGCATTCATTTACACCTAGGATGTTTCCAAATGATTTTATAACCACGATACATACTTAAATTACTGTCAGTTCGGTGAGAATTTTTCAGATTATAATTGACTCTAGGTCTATAAAACATAAACAAGTTCAGAGGTCCTTGCCTGCCACAGAAAGCAGCCCAGTGAAGCGCAGTCCATCCATTTGCATCACGGAAATTTATATTAACTCCAGCAGTAACAGTAGGCTTCATTGCCCAATCATAACCAAGTGCAGCAGCTAAGTGTAGTACACCTTGACCCTTCTCATCTAATACATTTGGTCCTTTACCATCTTCCATTATTTTGTGAAGAAGCCATGAGTACAACTTCTCTTTCATCAATTTCTGAAGGAGGCACTCCTGTTCTTCATGTTGAGACAAATCCTTTTCAGAGGGATCAACAATCTGGTGGCATTCATCTTCCTCTTTCATTGATATAATTTTAGTAATCAAATCTCGCTTCTCCCCAACACTTTCAGAGTGATGATTAGTACAACTGAAAGATTGCAAAGAAAGTAACCTCTGAAATCGCATCAGCATTTCTCTTGAGGCAACATCATAGATATCTGAAATATTTATGTCTTTAGTGAATCCTGCACGGTAGTCGAATTCTCGGACTTCGCTACAAGCTAACCTGTTGGAACATGTAACATAAAAAGGGACTTGCCCAACACTGTGAGGCGGAGCATGGCAGGAAAGAACACCATCTGCGATAACCACAGCTGGAACCTCCACTTCCCCAAACATACATGACCAGTTGTATTTTTCTGTTTCCTCTCGACTCCTCAAATATGTCCCAATAATAAACACCTGTTTCATTATGCAAAAAATAAGGGGGGAAAACCATTTTTTACTAAGTTGGGCATCTATCAAATAAGAATGGACATCACAAAATTCTAGAAAACCAAATGCTAATTATATATTTGAAGGAGGGAGGAGTGGCTGAAGGACATATACCGATACTTCATAGCAGGGACTATCATGGGCTTATGTGATATATATATACATATATGTGCTTGTGTAACAATTAAATCTAAGCAAAGAGAGAAAACATTAGCAGATGAAGCCACAGAGAACTTTAAGCAGTTAGCATGCTAGGGTTATGCATGCCTCAAAGTACCAGCCAAAAGTAACACGAAGAATAAAGTTGAAGAATGCACAAGTAACAAAAACAGGACAATTTATCAACTTTTAAATAAGCAGGTGAGGAAAAGGCCAAGAGAATAAGCAAGTGGTTAACTAAAATCTTCATTATGCTAGTTGCTGCAGAAACTTAACTTTTAAAATTTAACAAAAGCTTTAATACCTCAGTTTCTAAGTCTATGTATGCCCACTTTGGAGAAAAATCAACAATGCTGAAGAGTTGGTCGTGGGAAAGAGAAGGGCTCAAAGAGGCATCATCAGAAACATCTCCACACTCAACAGCACTCCAGGCAATACCAGGTGAGGATTGCATCAGCAAATCATCTACTTCTTCAAGTTCTCTAGTAACCCATCGTGAAAAACTGTCAACTTTCTTCAAGCCTTCTTCTCCATCAAGTAATGATTTTTTCAGAGACAAATCATAGTTGACATTTCCATCCAAACGCATATCGTTCTCAGAATATGTTCTCATGAAAGAATTAGGATCTGCATTGCTACTCTGTATTTGATGATTTTTATGCGGATGTTGATCATTTAAGTCATCAGGGCTGGAGAAATCCTCAAGAGCATTTGGCAAATGAAAAACAGGAGCATTCTGCTCAAATAACTTAGTATCATATGGCAAATCAAAATTTGATGATGGATTCATGGGCCATTTGGGCAACTCTAAGGCATTGTCAGCCAAAGGAATCTGAAAGATGTACTTGAATTAGAAAATCAATATATCATGAATTCAACAAAAGATCCAATAAGTCTAAACATCAAAAGTACAGACGAAAACAAAATATACGAAGAGAAGTTTGGTTAAAAATTGGATATTTTGTGACTGTATGCTCTATTACTTCTAATCAATCCTTTAGGCATTACGCATCAGTTAAAAAA